CTCCCCCCTCCCCCTTTCTCTTTCTCTATCTCTCTCTCTCTCTGTCTAGCTCTCTTTGCGAGAAAACAAAATGTACGTCGAACGATCAAAGTTCTTCCTTATTTACATATGGAGATGTGATTATTTATTAAAATCTTAAAATAAGGATATTAATATCAATCGTTTTATTGTCGGATATTTTATAGTTTTAATAGTTTTGAAAAAGAGTCGAAAAAGCGAGAACCCCTGGTCTTCGGTGCATCGGCGTGTATCTTAGTCGCGTCGCGCACGGACATAAACCTTCAACCGTGTGAGTTGCCCCGGGGACACTGTCGCCGCTAGCAAAAACGCTATTGAGTTAATCAACCAATTTATAATTAAAATTCCACGTTGTGAGCGGGGACAAGTCTGCCGGTAGTCTTCCAATCCCGTCGTCGTCCCGTCTCTCCCGATATACTCTCTCGTCTACCTTCTTTTCCCTTGCCCTCCCCCCCGTCTTACCTCCCTCCCTCCCTTCTTTCCCCTATCCGAGCAAGAAGCGAAGAAGGCTCGCCGTCTGGGACCACTTCGTTTCGCGGTAATCGCCATCAAATTCATAGAACACCAATTAACTGTTCATCGACGCCCGCAATCGTCCTTCTCTCTCTCTTTCTCTCTCTCTCTCTCTCTCTCCGTCTTTCCTTCTCTCTCTCTTTCTCTCTCTCTCTCTGTCTCTCTCTGTCTCTTTCTATATCTTAAGTTTCTCTATATGGTCGAAGAACGAAAAAAGTTGACCTAGTTTCTCTCGGGTTTCGACTTCACGTCCTCGAATAGCGGTTCATCTTTCTCCTTTGTCCGATCTATCTCCTTCGGGAAGGTCAACGTTCTTCATGTTTTCAAAGAAACTATATCTCTTTCTCACTCTCTCTCTCTCTCTCTCTCTCTATATCTCCCACTCTCTTTATATATATATATATATTTTTTTTTCATTTTCTTTTTTATCGTTTCTTTTTGTTTTTGTCTTTTTTTCTTTTTCGAATTAAGTTCAATCGAGAGAGAAGAATCACTTTCGTAGATGCACACGCAGATTGGAAAAATCGAACCGACCGGCAGGCAACTCGAGTAACGAAGCAACGGAAAGGAGACTCGGTCGCTCTCTCCCCGGTACTTATCCAGTCCTTGTCACTTGTCATGGTCTATAGAACACGATGCCCAGATCGCATTAATTACGCGTATTAGAGTCTCCTCTAGTTCTTCCCGTTCACCATCGCCACCCACATGCGACGGTGTTGGATCTTGGAGAGTTCTTGATTAGACCTCGTTATCAGGACTTCGTTATCCTCGATTTATTGAAAGTGTTCGTTTGAAAGAGACAGAGACAGAGACAGAGACAGAGAGAGAGAGAGAGAGAGAGAGAAAGTGAGAGATATTATTAGATTATTAAAATGGAAAATTATTTATCTAGTTCTATTTTATTTATTTATTTTTTTTTCTTCGATCAAATAATTTTAATAAGAACAATCTACTATGTAACATAATCAGAAAATATTATAGATATCTAAAATCAATTCAAGGAAGTATTAGTAATTGTTATTGTTTATTTAAAAGAAGAAGAAGAAGAAGAGAAAGAAAAAAAAGAAAAAAAAAAAGAAAAGAAGAACATCATTAAGCAACGATCCAATTCGTATATAGTTACGAGTAATTTGCTAAATCTTTTCCCCGTGGGATCTTAAATTCTAATCATTTCTCCGTAACGCTGAACAACGGCAAAAGGGGGCCCGCGAATCAGAAATAAGAAAGACCCTAATAGCGACTTTTACGTGTTTGCTCGTATAGAGCATGAAGAAGAAGAAGAAGAAGAAGAAGAAGAAGAAGAAAAAGAAGAAAGCACGCGAGGCGTAACAAGAAACTCGACTCTCGGTTCGTAAATCCATCGGTGTGACGGAAAGTCGAGTCGATTATCTCGATTATCGTAACTAACCTGAGGCCATAAGGTCTAATCTAAGGTTCACCTGCCAGTTGAGAACGGTGAGGCAGTAGATACGAGTGAGACGTTAACGGAGCAACTCCTTTCCGTACGTCTCGCAAATTCCCATTAGGAAGAGAGTTCTACGTAGTCCTCAAGTCCTCCAATCCTCCGCCAAGTCTTTTCCTCCTCTCTACCTCATCTTCTATATCTTCTCCTGCTTCTTCTTTTGGCCGGTGTTAAACGCCAGAGTCTGCTTTTTCTCAATCTCGCCACGCGGTCGAATTCGACGGATTCCACGGACTCTCCCATTATCTCTCTCTCTCTCTCTCTCTCTCTCTCTATCTCTCTTTCTTTCTCTTTCTGAACATAGTGGCAGTCCGACAGTATAATAGTAGTATTAGTATTAGTTATAGTATTAGTAGTAGTAGTAGTAGTTGTTGTAGTAGTCAGACTCCATTGTCGTTCGTTTCCTCGCGGTATTAGCCATGGAGTCAGTGAGGCAGTCTCTCCTTCCTTCGTCGAGAGAACAGCCAAGGAGATTAATTAGGGACGATGTTTTAGCGGCAAAAATCGGAGAGTAGCAAGAAGAAGATGCAGGAGGAAGAAGCAAGAGAGATAGAGAGAAAGAAAGAGAGAGAGAGAAAGAGAGAGAGATAAAGAGAAAGAAAGAGAGAGAGAGAGAGAGAGAGAGAGAGAGAGAACGAAAGAGAGAAAAGGAAAAAAACAGTGGGCAGTTAGAGTCGCGCTAACTAACCAGCAGCGCCACGAGACGATACAACTCTCCTCCGTCTTCTCGTCCTCTCGGGAACCTCGTCACCCTCGATCGCAAGAACGTGCTACAAATTAAGGCCAGATCGCTCGAAACCATCTCGGATATTCGGAGTGGACTTGTACTCCGCTCTTTCTACTATCTTTGGCACGCATACGTATATACTTTTCCTTTCTATTTATCTATCTATTTATCTGCCTATTTCTATCTCTATCTCTATTTACTTCTTTCTCTCTCTCTCTCTCTCTTTCTCTCTCTCTCTCTCTCTCTCTCTCTCTCTTTCTCTTTCAAAGTTCTATGAATATATACTTGTTAATTTTAATGGATAGTTAAATATAGTCGGTCATAATAATTTCGATAGGAATGGTTGTACACATAAATTGAACTAACGTATGATCTAAACGCAATTTGCCTTAGCTTATTTCGAATTCGATTATCGTCGTTCCAACAGGTGGGTAGGTTGAATATTACGAAAGCAGCTCACAGCATTGCATTCGTTGTAAGCTAGTGGAATTAAAATTGACTCTGAATGAGTCGTATTAGTTAGAAATAAGAAAATCCAAGGTATAAGAAGGAAAGGAAGACGAAGATGATGAAGAAGAAGATGATGAAGAAGAAGAAGAAGAAGAAGAAGAAGAAGAAAAAGAAGAAGAAAAAGATGAAGGGATCCTTCTTGCTCTATAAGGCAGGAAGCATTCGCCGGTGCTTTTATCGATCGATTTGCCGTGTCGATCGGCAGCTAAGGCGCTAATGGGTCAGTCAGTTCGTACACGAGTAGACGACTCGTCGACTCGAAAGCAACGAGCCGTGGAAGAGGATCGAGCGTGCGAAAAATCTTGAAACGGCAGCTTTTGCTCTATTCCCTCTTCCTCCTTTTCCCTGTTTCTCCTTCTCCTCCTCCTTCTCCTCCTTCTTTCAATAGAATCGATATGAGAATCGAAGTGGTTCGAGTCGTTAATTTAATCAGAAGAAGACGCTACGTCATCTATATCTTGCTCTTTTCCTTTTTTTTCTTTTTTTCTTTCTTTCTTTCTTTCTTCTTTTTTCTTTTTTTTCTCTTTTTTTTTTTTTTCTTTTTTTGTAAGTACCCGACTACTTATGTAGATTCGATCGAATTCGTTCTCTCGTTAAGTACTATGATAACGTACAATCAATAATAATTAGATGGTTGATCGATTTCGCTCAGGTAAAATATTTTCATTATTATTATTATTATTATTATTATTATTATTATTATTATTATTATTATTATTATTATTATTATTATTATTATTATTATTATTATTATTATTATTATTACTTTTTTTTTATTATTATTAATAATTATATTCCTATAAGAATTTATTTCCAATTAAAGTTTCACATACTATCATCATCTTTCTCAACACTCTCCAACATTCACATGGGAAGTGGTGCGCGAAATATAAAAGGACGCGTTATGTGAATCGTTTATGTTATCTCTTGGTCGCGCCTAGGAATAATAAATAGAGATAGACGAAGGTGGCGGAGATAGGAGCTCGGTGTCCGCGTGTCTAGCCCACGCAGAGATTATCTCGAGGAATTATGAGTGACCATTTAAGCTTTCAGATTATATAAAAGCGACGTGTCACCGACCGGCAAACCGATCGACGTCGTTCGTCCATGAAATATATGGCCTTTCTCGGAGTTCTTTTTTTTTTTTTGCTTTCCCCCTTTTCTCTCTCTCTTTTTCTTTTTCTTTTTTTACGCACGTTTTTACAGAAAAAAAAAACAAAAATCGCTTTCTAAAGAAAATGAAAAATGATCGGAATCCATGGAACAATAGAAAGAGAAAAAAGAGAGAGAGAGAGAGAGAGAGAGAGAGAAACGAAGAATCTCGGTTTAAGAATTTGATAGATGAAACTTCAAGCGGAGAAGGCGAAGTAAATTTTTTTCTAATCGAAACGCACCTATTTAGCGCCTGAATGAGGCAATTACCTTGTGGAATCTCGCGTGCCATTCGCGCTTTTTAACCCGGCATGAAGTCATTGCGGTATGTTTTTCGAGGTCGGAAAAACGGAAAGGGCGGAGTACGGTGAGAGTTGGGTGAGGGGAGAGGGGTTATGGGGGGTGGGAGGTACGGAGAAAAATGTGAGATGTCTCTTTGATGACGCAATGAACTAAAAAAGGGGATACCTTTCAACTCGTTTGTAATTATCGTTAATAACGAAACAATGAATTAATATTATCAAGGAAAAATATTTATTGTAAATGTTTTATTCGAATTATCGATTGATATAATTGAATTAATTATATATAATTATTTTCTCTTTTCTTTTGTTTCAGACGCCATGGGTAAGTTAGGATATAGGATGGTGGCCTATGGATTCATGGATGGATATTATGATTCATACTGTCTAATTCCAATTGCACTTACTTATACTCTATTATCGCAACTTTGTTGGTAAGTCCGATAGTCCATTTCAACGCGCGTACGCGTCAAGGAAATCTGTACAACGAGAGCGTATGTACAGTTAATGATCGTAATTAACGGTGCGGTTCGTTACACTTGTCCTCTCGCGCGGAGTATTCGCCGCCGCCGCCGTCGCTGCCGCCGCCGCCGCCCGGTTGCCCGGTCGCCCGTAGAAAACTCGTTGGACGAAGGAACGATTTAATCGACACGCTCGAATGTCCGAGCGTTCGCGTGCGTGTTATGTGTACGAGCGAGCGAGCGAGCGAACGAGCGAACGAGCGAACGAGCGAACGCGCGCTCGAGATCAACGATATTTACTCCCGGGTGTGAGTACATACACGCCTTCATAGAACAGAGTGAACGCATACTTTGCAGTGGTTCTCTCTGGATGGCTATCGACAAATTTCATTTCCGTTTGAAGTAAACGTGCCGGACATTCCTTCTTCTCTCACTCTTTCTCTCTGTTTTATTCGTTTATTTTTTCTTTTTCTTCTTTCTTTCTTTATTTCTTTCTTTCTTTTTTTCTTTCTTTTTCATCATCCTCGTTTACTTTTTGTACTTAGCCAAAAGGAAAAGCAAAAGAGGATGAAGGAAGAAATGAAAGAGAAAGAGAGAGAGAGAGAGAGAGAGAGAGATTGTAAATAATGTAAACAAAATGAAAGATTTCAATGTTCCCAGATAACACTAAGGTGCATATTTCTAGATACGATACGTACATACGTACTTATATATATATATATATATATATATATATATATATGTATGTATGTAGGTATGGAAAAATCCTTGAATAATAAATGTAAGTACAATGTTCTGTATAGGGACATTCGCGATTTAAATCGACGATAAGATCGATGTTACGAGATTTCCAACGTCGCAAAGTTAATAGTTTCTCTTAACGTATCTACGATCTCGAAAGCCGGTAATCGCACGGAAAGAGATAATCGTATAATCGGTTGGTAATTATAGCAATAGTCGATCGGTCGGTCGGTCGGTCGGTTGGTTGGATGGTTGGTCGTATGATTGGTCGTATATGATCGGTCGGTCGGTCGGTCGATTGGTTGGTTGGTTGGTTGGTTGGTTGGTAGTTCAACCAGGCATTGAATTGTTTCTTCTCGTTGCACGCTCTCAACTATTTTAACGACAAAGACCAACGTTGTTCGCTCAAACGACCGAACGACTCTGAGATTTTCTCGAACGAAGACGCAACCGAGCTCTTACTCTTTCGTTTCTTCTCTCGGTTAGATATTACTCGTTCGACTTTAATCGAGTTAATTAAATCGCGTGAAAGATCTTGACGGGTATCATTCCTATTTAAAGGAACGATTTGATTTTTTCTTTTTTCCTTATCTTCTGTCTCTTTTTTCTTTTTTTTTTTTCATCATCTTCTGCTTCTTCTTTTCTTTTCTTTTCTTTTTTCTTCCTTTATCCTCTTTTAAGTAGTTCGACGAGGCCGAAGTGAAATATTTGAATTTTTCGAAAGGTAAAGATAGAAAATTTAATAATAATAAATGAGGTACGAAATATGAAAGATGTGATAACGATAACAATATCCGAGGGAAAACGTCTCGTTTATTCTCGCAATGGATTCCAACGAAGCCTACGTGAAATCGTTAACGATGCGATTAGTAGGTATATAAACGGTAGGAGACCCGTATAGATCGCCCGTATAAATATGCATGTATATACATATGCATGTATATGTATTATATTAGTTTGCACCGCGGTGCGAGGCGAATGTTGCGAGTATACTCCCCGCTGTGGCTAATCTCGCAGGATACGAAACGTGGAATTAAATCTACGCAACGGGTACGTTCGCGTGGGAGGCTGGTTCGTCCATTTTTACTGAATCTCTAATCTCTAATCTTTAGAAAATCTATGATAGTTAACGAGTTTGCCCGGAGTTATTTCCTATATTGGAATCGATTAAAATCGACATTGAGACAATTTCAGATAAGAGATGAAACGCAATTGTTAATCGTTATTTTAATAAATTGCATCAACCTTCGATTTGTTTTTTTTTCCTTCCTTTCTAAGATCATCGATCGAATTAAATCTTTCTCTCTCGCTTTCTCTTTCTCTCTACCTCTATCTCTATCTATATTTCTATCTCTCTCGCTCGTTCTCTTTCTTGTACATAATGTTTACCATTGTGTATCCCCCTTTCCTTTTCTCTCGGGGCAACCAATACGTGCGAATAGTAATTCTACTCTCCTTCGTTCAAAATACGTTTGCCATGTGGCGCGTCCGACGTTGGTCGCCGTTTAAACCTAATTACCGGTCACAGCGCTCGGTATTCATTAACGCCTGGAGCGCGAGTGTCGCTTATGGTCAGCATTCTCCTAGGATTCGAAGGAACCTCCATCCTCTTCCTCCTCCTCATCCTCCTTTTTCTCACACTACGAAAACCATTCCCTTCATTAACACTGTTCCGTTCTCCTAAAATTCTCTCTTATGGTAACATCGAACAAGTGGTTCCTTCCTAAATGAGAAAGAAAGAAAAAAAAAATAATATATATATATATATATTTTTTTTTTACAACGTAGAATGTATGGTGTTGTTTCATTAAAAATATAAGATCTACCAATATCTAAAGTGTTGTGTATCTACTATATATATATAAAAAAAAAAGAAAAAAAAGAAAAAGAAAAACAAAAATAAAAACAAAAAGAACAAGGACGAATTACGAAACGTGTAGTTAGATTGATCTGGGTCTTGCCTAAAAAGGAAAGGATTTTTCGAAAGGACCACCGCAGATAAGATAAACATGGATGTTTATCCCGAAAAAGGGTGTCATTTCCGTCGCTCATTTTACGATCCTTCCCATGAAGAACTTTCTTGACACTTCTTTGCACTACCCTCCGCGCGGGACTAGCGAAGAACGCGTTACGAGCGTGCACGTTTAACTCGGTAATTAGAATGCAAATGCCGTGCGATCGCGGTCTCAATAATTTTCAATGATTACATTGTGAGTACGTACAAATTAACGCCTTGCACACGAAGCAACAGGATAAAGGAGAAACTTTTCTCGCTTTACGATCACGATTTTTTCTTCTCTCTTTTTTCTTTTTTTTTTTTTTTTCTTTTTCTCTCTTCCTTTTTTTCTTTTCTTTCTTCTTTTCTTTTTTACACTCGCGTTTAATGCCAAACGTTTACGATAAAGATAAACGAAATATTTAATGCCAGAAGAGAACTATATCATTAAGAGTCCCTTCTTAATTGGATTAATTAGTCGATAACCGCAAATTTCTTTCTCTCCTTTAATTAACTTCCCTAACATTTTTAACATTTTGCGAGATAGAACAATGTTTTGTAATTTCAAAATTGACTTTGTAATTTTTATAGATATATCCATTGATATATATGTATATATATATATATATATATATATATATATATCCATTGATTTAGTAGATACCATTCTGTTTCGGCGAAGTAAACACCGGGGAATATCGTTTGAAATTTTTTTGCTAAAAAAGAGAAGTCTATAATGACAACGACAATGACGACGGACTACGAGGAAGAGGATCAAGATGCGTTTCTCGCTGGATCGTGCAATAATTAGAATGCAAATTCGTCGTGTCTCGACGTGTACGTATAAACAGGCTAGCAGTGGCTCGTGTTGCACCCTTTTCTATATACATCGTTCGGCAAACGCATCGGCCACAGCAAGTTCTCTCTGTCTCTCTTTTACTCTCTCTATCTATCTCTGTCTATCTTTCTCTTTCTCTCTCTCTCTTCTTCTTTCTTCGTCGATGGCCGGATGGTCGGGGGCCGTCTTTAATGCGTTTTCGGTCCTGGAAGCAGTAAAAGCGACGCCTTTTATAGCTCGTTATTCCGCGAACCGATGGGAACGAACGGACTGCCACTGCGACTTCTCTACGATAGCTTCTTCTATTCTCATTTTCTTCAATCTGTTTTTTTCTTCTCTTTCCTTTCCTTCTTTTTACTTTTTTTTCTTCTTTTCTTTTTTTCTTTTTTTTTATTTATTTCCTTTTTTTCTTTTCATTTCGTTGAGTTAATTCTCATTCGATTATCTATACTTTATTTCACGATTCTAATTGAATCGTAATCCTTGTCAAAACCAGAATCGGTGATTAAATCTAGAAGGAAGATAAAGAAGAAGAAGAAGAAGAGAGAGAGAGAGAGAGAGAGAGAGAGAGAGAGAGAGAGAAATTCTCGTTATCTTCGTTGAACAAAGTTGCACGCGTTGCGGTCGTCCGGACAAATAGATTACGTGCTCGAAGGGATGCTTTTCGCGGCGTGGGGGGGGTGGATAGGGTAAGAAGGGTAGAGACTCTCGAAGCTGTTCACACGTGCTACGCACGTACGCGTTCGTTCGAGCAGAAGCAGTCCTTCCACGCTTCTCTATCTCTCCCTCAACCTTGCCCCCCTCCCTTTTACGAAAGAAGCGTCTTCTCCATTTCTCCCTTACCCATCTCTCCTTTTCGACTCTCGAAAAAATTGCAACGCGTTAGCTCGAAATCCTCTAGCCATACCATTATTAAATCTACGTTCGTATTAGATCGCAGGGTGCCGGCGCGATTCGAGTCGAGTCGAGTCGAGTCGAGTAGAATAGAGTAGAGAATAGAATAGAGTAGAATCAAGTCGAGTCGAGTCGAGCAAAGCAAAGGGGGGCCTTCGTAATGGACAGGAGTGGAAAGCATTAATATTCTCCTCTCGTGAGGACCATCGAAACGCGACGGGACGCGCGGATCGACGAGAGATTCGCGTATTACCGATGTTAACTCGATTCCACGGGCTCTACTTCTTTTAACCAACGATTGTATCATCCTCTCTGAGATACTTCGTTCCTATTAGAAATTATTAGGACACACGTAATACGTTTAAACGTCATCGTTTGTACGATATAACAAAAGT